AATCAGTTATTTCACGGTGAGTTCAATATAGGGACAATTGTATGTTATGTGTTATATGTGCAATGTGTTTTCCTGTGTTAATATGATAATGAGCTATACCTTTGACCTTGAAGTGAATGACTAAGCATCACTTGGGTATTGGTATGTAGCCTTTGACCATGAAGTGAATGATTAAGCATCACTTTGGCATTGGCAGAAGGCTAGGTAGGTCTGAAAGCCTGTAAATTGCTAGCAAAATGTTAATTCAGAAATCGTTTATTTTCTATGCCACATGGGTTGAAGTCTTATTGATGTATATCATGTTGAAATTGTTGTATTTAATTGATTGTAAATCTTTGAATCAGATTATTCGTTGATATGGAAAGCCTGTCATATGATACTCATCTGCCTTTGTTGTTCTTTGTCCCTCTTTGCTTCTGTCATATTGATATATATATATATAATATATATTATATATATATATATATATATATATATATATATATATATATATATATATATATATATATGGCATAACGTTATATTGTAACTGTTATTGAACTCACTAAGCGTCACTCGCTTATCCCTCTCAGTGTTTACTTATTGCAGGTGATAAACACCCAGTATAGTTATGTAATGTTAGAAGATGTAGAATAGATAATATTATAGCTTTTGTATTTTGTGTATAAATTCCTGGGAAATTATGTGATATATAAAACTTTGTAAAAACCTCGTTAGTCGGTTTGTATCTAGTCTTTTGCAATAAGACCATATATGTAAAATATGTTTATGAAATATGCATGTAGCATGTTTGGAGTAATAATATTGTAAAGTTTAGAAAAAGGGGTTCTTTCAGTAGCGGCCATTAAATTGTATGATTTTAATAGATATTATCATATGGTTCAAAATAATTACAGTTTTATATAAAAAAAAATTGGTCTAAAAAGTTATAATTTCATAGTTAATGTCAATAAGGTAGCTATTTTCAACATGTATTTGTCTAATTTTAACTATAAAAAATTATTTCGCGCAACGCATAGATCTTCATTTAGTCTACTATAATAGAGGTCAAAATACTTGAACCTCATTCATTTGAAACTCTCACTATAACTTAAAAGTTTTATAATTTTATGTATACTTATTATTTCCAATATAAAGTAATTAATCATTACAACTCTAAGAGTTATTTAACTTATAGGTATTAATTGGTAATAATTTTCTTCCTGTCATTTATACACATTTTAGCTATATGAGTAGTATATAAGTAAGTTTTCACTAAAAATCGTGTGTTTGAAGACATTTTTTATTAAAATATAAAGAATAGCAAAAACGAGTTTTGCCGCATCAATAGTTATTGCAGCATAGATTTTTCTTGAGATAAAAATGTTTCTATATATTAAATGTATATTGGCTTCTATATTATGTTTGTATGATTTATTAGTGTTTAAAAGTTCATTTTTACAAATATTATAGTAGATGTTGTAGTGTATTTATGTTATTAAAAGTTGTAGTATTTTTTTTCATACTATTTGTTATTCGTTATATATATATATATATATATATATATAAAATCAATATGCGTTTAATATAAAATTTACACAACTTGAAACAGTCAATAATCATCAAAAGTTGTAGTATTTATTTTATCATACTATCTGTTATTCCTTATATATAGAAATCAACATACATTTTATATACAATTTACACAAATTAAAACGCTTTACAAAATCATCAATTAATGGTCAACATAACCAATTATTTAAAAGGGAAATTACATAAAAGCCATACAATGTTTCCGGAGTTTGTCGATTCAGTCCCTAAATATATTTTGTTGTTTTATGGGGTAGAGAGTCGATATTCACCTACTTATTTGGTCACCATTACCTATTGCATCCGGTTACCGCTACCACATATATATATATTTTTTGATTTGGCTGATTATTAGAAAATGATAATGATGTGGCTACCTAGTTAGACGGCATGGGTTCCATATAGCTCCAAACCGATTATAAAATGGAATTACAACAAATAAAAATCTGATGTAAAATCGAATAAATATTCATAAACATCGAGACCCAAAGAAAAAAAATACTCACATCAACTAAAGAACAAAATTAAACCCAAAAAGCTTCCAGATCAGCTCCAAAAGTAAAATCAAACCCGAAAGCTTCTTAGATTTATCAAAGAAACAACTTTAAAAACCATCTTCAGGTGTTGTCGTAAGGTTGATAATTCTGGATTCCGGAATTCCTAACATCTTCCATTGACAAATAGGTAACCTTAAAGACACGTTCCTTACGTCATTAATTAGCCTTAAACTTAAAATCAAGAAAATATTAGGGAATAAAGAAGGTAGTCGTACCTCTCATTATAAGAATAACTTTGGAAACAACCCCAGGGAAAGCAAGAAGGTAGTAATAGAGGCACTTAGAAGCCACCATTAAAGAGTAAATAAATCTAGAAAAATCTGCACCTTTCCCCCTTCGATTTACGATGTCTGCTTCTGTTGCCACCATGAAGAAGTTGTCGAAGGTACTAAGAGCAAGATTTCTTGGTGCAAGCGGAGATGAAGCAGGGTTTCCAAAGGTTACTAATACAAGGAAGATGAGAGGTAGAATGATAGGCGAGACAATGGTTTATGACTAATGATAAACATAGATGAGTGGTGGTCCGACAATATTATGGAGGTAGCCATAAGAATGAAGATGTAGGTGCCTTGTTGGGTGTTGTAGAGTTTCAATGGCGAATAGAAAGGGATAAGAAGGAGAAAATGCGTTGAAGGAGTAGAGGTGACACGAAGTGTCTTATGTGGAATATTTATCTGATGACATGGTATGTGGTAACCAGTGTACCCCTTCACAATCTATAAAAGTACCATTTAAACCGAATAAATTCCATCTTATGACCCCATAAAGCAACAAAATAACTTTAGAGACCGAATCAACCAACTCTGGAAACATTATAGGGCATTTGTGTCATTTCCGTTTATTTAAAATTATTGTGCTTAATAAAAGTATATATAACTATAGTTTTGTGTTACTACTAACATTGGTTTTTCATATATAAATATTCAATTGTACTCTCGCGCAACCCGTGGGGATTCGCCTATTATACCCATAATTGGTTAGTACATCCTAATCTATATCTATCTATCTATCTCTATATCTATATAAGTACTATAATAGAGGCCAAAATACTTGCTTTTCATGCATTTGAAACTCCAATGACTCTTCAATTTCTTCTTAATAATGATTATAATCAAAATCTTTTTATAATTGTATTAAATAATACTTTAATAATAAATCTTTTTATATTTCAACTAATTAACTATTATAACTCAAGAGTTTTTGTAACTTATGATATATTAATTGGTTGATTTAGAGTGTATATATATATATATATATATATATATATATATATATATATATATATATAAGATTAAGATTAGATTGTTAGGGTTTTAAGATTAAGATTGGGGGAAAAAGAGTAAGAAGAGAAAAGTTTCTACTTCATGAGATAGAACTTGAACAATAATATTGTTATTTGATATGAATTTTTGTCAGATATATTATTATTGTGTATTCTTTCTATTTTCTTTCTTCATGTTAAACTTATTTGGTTTTTTACATATTATTTTCTATTAATAGAGCTTATGCTTTTGTTTATTATTTTAATATTGTTTCTTAATTCTCTATTTTTAACTGAAACTTATCGTTTGTTGTTGTTTCTACTATTAAATTTTATTCTTTTGTTTGTCAATTTAATATTGTTTCTTAATTTTCTAATTTTTCCTTGAAACTTATCTTTTGCTGTGTTATAATTTATCAACAAAACTATAATCCAAAATCATCAAAATGTTTGTTAGGAAGTGATGGATCACATTAATGACATATAAAGAATAACTAAAAATTAGTAAAAATTTGATGAAATGATTATTATAAAAAGTTATTAACTCTAAATTAATGATAATAATATAAAACTTTATAATACCATATATGTATCAATAATATAATTATATTATTTTAGTCAACACAATATATTTATCATAATTTTAATCATCAAAGTTTTATTTCTGCATAACGCGTGAGTTTTCGCATAGTATCTAATAAAAGAAGTATTTTTTCATGCGCCATATTGATTTGAAACCCCTCTAACTCTTCATTTTCACATAATTAATAAGAACCATTCAAAAGTTTTTTTTTAAATATAATATTTAATGATATTATGACCCATAATTGACTATTATATAGATATATAGTTGAGATTGTGGGTTTATGCCATAAAACCCTTAAGTTTTTTGGTTTTTATTGGTTTTACACAAAGATAAATTTTATGTTCGTTTTTGCCCACATATTTTCCAAAAAATGTTCGTTATACAATTTTACCGGTGATTACAAATTTTTCAGGTTACCATGATATTAATTTTGCAAAAAATCCTTAAGTTTACAGGTTTTTTTTTACGTTTTTACCCTTAAGTTTATAATTTTTTTTACACATTTGTCATAAGTATTTTTTTTTCATATTATACGTATTCATGTAGAAAAATCGTATTTATTTTCGAAAAAATATTTAGTTAAATATCGACCTTACATTATTTTAAAATTTTATTTCTTTATAGATATGAGATTTTTTGTCTGGTTATACCGTTTAAAACGTAAAAAACAAAAGTGCAAATTAATATGTTTTTATAACTATAAATGCATATTTCATTGTATTTAAAAGTATATACTTAGCAATCGAAAACATGTTTATATGCGAAAAACATGTTAATCATAAACGTGTTTATATTAGATATATATATATATATATATATATATAATATAGATTATATATATATATATATATATATAGAGGTAGGTTCAAATGTTTAAAGTAATTATTGGGTTATTGTATGCATAAATGTGGGCCAATCATAATTAAATAAAAATTTAAATAATTAAATAAAAATTTAAATAATTAAATAAATAAACAAGGGTATTTTAGTAATTTAATAAATAGCTTCCACAAATAGTCCTATAATCATGCTAGCATTCAATTTTAACCTAATTTCTTTTCTTATATACATCCGTCATCCACCAGACCCTTCTAATCACCCTGACTTCATCTTCCTCCCTCTGCCGGACAAATTATCCGACACCGGCGGCTCTTCCGACTTCATTCGGTTCTTGCAAGCTCTAAACGATAACTGCAAACCCCATTTTCAGAAACACCTCATCCAGATCATAGATGCACAAAAGGCCTCATCTCAAAAGGAATCAATCGTTATCATCCATGATAATCTCATGTTTTGTGTCGGATCAATCGCCGGCGATCTGGGTCTACCCTCCATCATAGTGCGCAGCATCAGTTCTGCATCAAGTTCCGATTCCGATTCGGAGTCGGACGTCGAAGCTCAAGCTGCTCTCGAATTACAAACCCTAGAAACGGAACTCTCGACAAGGAGCAGCGAAGCAGCGGCGCAGGTGAGGTTTTCGGAGGTGTTTGCTTGACCGGAGAATGTGTGGGATGAGATGGGGGGCTGCTCCGGTAATCTCCTTGCTCCCCCTTTCTTTCTGATTTAACAGCCAACAACGAAGGAAAATGGAAGCAAGCAGAAAACGATCTAAGGGGAGTTTTTTGTTTGTTTGATTCTTTTAATAGGGAAAGATAGAAGGAAAAGGGAGAGGCTGTTGGTCTCTTGATGTTCTTGGCAGAAATCAAAGAAGAAGAAGAAGAAGAAGAAGAAGAAGAAGAAGAAGAAGAGAAAGGAGCTGCTGATCTCTTCTGTTTGCACTAGAAAACATCCACTTCGGTGGTGTGTTCTTGACTGAAAACGAAGAAGAGAAGGAATGCAGGGGTGATTTTTCTTTTGTATTAAATAATTGTGAATCGATGCAGAAAAGAATAGAGAATGGAAGAGTGTTTATGTAGATGATTCAATGGATGATATTGGTGAGATTCCAATTCTATTGGAATGGAATCACGAATTCCAATTCTGTTGGAATGGAAAGACGAATTCCAATTCTGTTGGAATCACAGAAGTTGATGCTTGAAGAACAGACCACAAAATTGAAACGGACCACATTATTCTTTTAGAATGTAGTAGTCGTTGTTAGATTTTGATGTTTTCTTTTTCGGTTTGATTGTTTTTTAGTTTTATTCCTTATCAATAAATGTAATTCTTAACAATTGTTACCCGTATTCTATAAGAAATAATGTATTTTTTGTTTTTATTTTTCAATTGATTGTTCAAGGATTTGTTATTCTACAAGAAGTTTTTAAATTCATGATCAAGAAATAGGTTCAAGAATATTTTTATTATTTATGGTTCAAGAATATTTTAATTTTTGAATATACTCATAAACATATTTTGTCATAATGTCCGAATTAAAAAAATTATAATATGTAAAATCGGATTTTTAAAATTAATAGAATCTATGATCCCTTAAAAAATGCAATTTTCCTTTATTAAATCTATATTAATTGACTAAATTACCCTTGTAATTAATTAATATGATATTTTCAATTATATTTAATTCAATAATATATATTAATCACTTTCTTAAAATAAGTAAATTTGATTGGCCCACATTTATGCATACAATAACACAATAATTACTTTGAATAGAATAACCTAGGCCTATATATATATATATATATATATATAGATATATATATATATATATATATATATATATCTATATATATATATTAAGTTTTTTGGAAGTACAAATTTATTTTTTTAGAAATATTAGTATGTATTTTAGAACTCAAATATTTATTTTTATGTTTTTATAAGTATATACATATATTTTTAGAGATGTAAATATATATTTTTATATTTTTTTAAAAGTATAACTATATTTTTAGAAGTACAGATACATATTAATATTTTAAAAAATATAAAATACGCATTTATATTTCTATAAACTGTATCTGTATAATACGTATCTGTAATAATAAAAATATATATATTTTAACATTTTAAATGGTATAACCACGCATAAAAAACCATATATATATATATATATATATATATATATATATATATATATATATATATATATATATATATATATAAAGAAATAACATTTAAAAATGGGATAGTATAATATTTAATTAAACATTTTTTCGTATACAAATACGATTTTTCTGCATGAGTACGTATAATATGAAAAAAAATACTTAAAGTAAAAGCGTAAAAAAAACTATAAACTTGAGGGTAAAATCATAGAAAAAAACTGTAAATGTAAGAGTTTTTTGCGAAGTTAATATCATTGTAACCTGAAAAACCTGTAATCTCCGGTAAAAAGGGAAAACCAATTTTTTTTGGAAAATATGAGAGGTAAGAACGAAGATAAAATCCAAATTTGTGCAAAACCGACAACAACCTAAAAGCATGAGGGGTTTTACGACATTAGCCCTTCATATTGGTAGTTTATGTTGGTAGAGTTTGGAGCATTATGGGTGATTGTGTGGTAGATTGAAGACTTTATAAGAAGACATCTGTAACATCCAATAAATTCATAAAAATTTCAAACTTTTTAAGATTTCCAAAAACCATTCATTGTTTACAAATTGTTTTCAAAATAGTTTCACATCAGAGAAATCCCAGAAATCATAGCACAAAATGTGAGGAGGTGCACGATCAAGCATTCGCCTTCCCGCGATCATCCGAAGTACCTAAAACATAATCCAAAACTATAAGCCCAAAGCTTAGTGAGTTCTCCAAAAATACAAACACCATAATAGCAGAACAATGTCACAAACAAACAGTATGCATACAGAGCATTCAGCATGACAGGACCGCCTCACTGCGCCTTCAGCCTATCTGGCCCACTCTCAGAAGCTTCAGCATGTCTGGACCGCCTCGTCGGGCCTTCAGCCTGTCTGGACCGTTCTCCGGGCCTTCGGCCTGACTGGTACGCCCCTTTGGGCCTTCAGTCTATCCGGGCCGCCCTGGGTCTGTTGGCCTTGAGCACAAAGCCGTACCGCCTCAACCCACCCGCCATCACATATTATCACATAATATCTAACGCTAGCTAGCACATACAATTATCATATAGGCCTAACAGATCATCATTCATAGCATAATCCTATAGACTAGGATACAGATCTAACAGAACACTACACATAACATCATACGATAAACCAGGATACAATCCAAAGGGTCGGCATTGGTGCCTTCGACCCTGTCAGTATAGTGAGGAGAACTCACCTCTCAAGTAGTGCTGAACCGGTAACAAATCAAATCCCAACCCACAACTCCGAACTTAACTGCCTACAACCACCATGTGACGAACTCCATGAGAATCCCGAAATACCCAAAATACCCTTAAGGTCAAACTTGGTCGACCATGGTCAAACTCAAAGTCAACAGTCAAGGTCAACGGTCCATGGTGACCCAACTCGTCGAGTGCAGCTATCAACTCGTCGAGTTCCTTCAATGTGTTCAGAAAATCGAGAAAGTCCGAGCCAACTCGTCGAGTCAGCAGAACAAATCGTCGAGTTCCTACAGCATCCAGAAAAACGGGAAAACCCGATCCAACTCATCGAGTTGTTAAGGCAACTCGTCGAGTTTTCCTAGTCTTAACATATTCAGCCCCTTCTAAGCGAATGTGAAGCCCCAAACTATAGATCTGGACCCCTAGAACTGAAATACCACGTAAAGTTGCTAACTTTACGCCCATGCATGGCATCAACAGGCTAAAACAATAAAACAAAGCTTGCTAAGGGACTTAGAGCATGAAGGAGGGCCAAGACTTGATAAAGTTGGCAACTTTAAGTCCACAAGGGCCATGAGATGTTCAGATCTGAAGTCATAGCTTCATAACATGCTCAATCCAGGAATGGTCCCAAAATAAGCTAATAATGGCCATAAACTCCCAAGCGATGAGATCTAGCAAAAGAATGGTCAAGGCATCGATTTTATACCTTAATATAGCTGCCCCAACAGAGAAATTCCAGGATTTAAAGCTTCTCCCTTCAACTATGCACCACCAATTTCAACTCCTTTAAGAAAGCACCAAAGAAAACACTCTTTTAACTCACACACACTCAAATATGGGAGATGAGACACGATTTAGGGTTTCTATGGACTGAGGGGACGATGAGGGAGGCTAACAATGAGAGTTAAGGCCTTTAAATTGGGTGCAAACCCTAAAAAATAGGGTTTTCATTCCAGTCTTCAACTCGTCGAGTTGGGGCCTTCAAACTCGTCGAGTAGACATTAAAAGATACGCGGCCATCAAAAACTCTACACGACGGTTGGCACCTTCCAACTCGTCGATTTTCCCTGAAAATATACATTTATAAGGCTTTATATTCTTAGCTGGAGTTTGGGATGTTACAACTCTCCCCCACTTAAATTAGATTTCGTCCTCAAAATCGTTCCTCATTACTTCTCATAATAACATCCATCCCCAATGATCTCAATCAGAAATTTTGTGCACTAAATAATTTTCCCAAGGCAACCGAAACTTCTATCCCGAGGATAACATCCCAAGTCCACTCGGAGCCTTTCTGATGCTACCACTTTACCTTTACTAAAGGTATCCCCTTGATGCGCAGGACCTTTACCTTTCTTTCAAAGACAGCCACCGGCCTCTCAACGTAGTTCAGGTGATCATCAACTTGAATGTCGCCCAATGATACCACGACATACTCGTCCAACACGCACTTTTGCAACTGCGAAACATGGAAAGTGATATGAATCCGACTGAGCTTTTCCGGAAGATCCAGTCAATATTCCACCTTGCCAACCCTGGCAATAACCCAAAATGGCCCAATATATCGGGGACCCAACTCTCCCTTCTTCCTGAAGTGGATCACACCCTTCCAGGGTGAGAACTTCAGCAATACCATGTCACCGTCCTGAACTCCAACTTAGACCTGTGCTGGTTGGCATAACTCTTCTGTCGACTTTGAGTAGTCTGCAATCGCTGCCTGATCTTCTGAATCATCTCGGTGGCCTGCAGGACCACCTCGGTCCGCCCCAGGACCCTGTGGTCAACCTCGCCCCAACAGACTGGGGTATGACATCTCCGCCCATACTAACCATCGCTAGTTCCATTCCCCTTATTCCGTCAACTGACTACTAATCCCTGAAAACCTAAAGTTCTCGCCAGAAACAAAATAATAGATCATACGCTGCTGCCGACAAATTCTTGGCTAGAAAAAGAGATTAGATATTCTTTCAAGAGAAAGCTCATTCGAATGACCAAATTCCCTGGGATAAAATGAACAACGGGAGGCAAACTGGGGGATGAACCCTTTTTGTGCTGACAGGATAATGCTTCCTTTAGCTCTCGAACTAACATACATATAAAAACCAACTAACAAGCACGGAAACTCATACCTGGCCCAATTAGCCTCGGGATGGAATACCAGGCATGCCTACGACGGGTCCAGTCATCCTTAGGATGGAATACCATCGTATCATGCACATGTTTGGTCTAATCAACCCTCGGGTTGGAATACCAAACACGTCAGGTCCAATCGATCATAGGGT